TAAAGTAAGGCAGGACAGCAGTCTGCATCACATAGTTAGGAAGGGAGTTCAACACAGAGACCGCCAAAGTCACACGGTCCGCTAGGGATAGGCTACGCGCTTTCCATCCTGCTAATCGTTGATCAATTTTCTCCAGAATATACTTGTAAGTGTCCCGAGTAACTCTGCCATGAACGACACCGAGGTACTTTCCAAGATTATCCGTCTCCTTGATACCAAGGATCTTGCTAATTCTGGATTTGGTGTGGGTGGGGGTATTCTTGGAGAACAGAATGCAAGACTTGGCCTTATTTATTTCTTCGCCTGAGGCCTCACTGAACTTGGTGAGGATGTCTAAAATGACTTGTCCCTGCTTCACATCCGAGTTCCCAAATAACACAAGGTCATCTGCAAAAAACAAGTGAGTGAGAGGCGGACCATTCTGCGAAAGATAGATAGGCTTCCACATGTTATTATCAACTGAATCTTTGATACAATGATTCAGACGCTCAATACACAAAGTGAAAAGGTAGGGTGAGAGAGGACATCCCTGACGAAGACCTCGGGCAGGTTGGAAAGCATCCGTACAACTGCCGTTCCAAAGAATTTGGAAACTAGTCGTAGTGACACAAGCCATAACCAATCTGATGAAATCATCTGGAAGTCCTGCTGCGATCAAGGTAGAATGAAGAAACCTCCAGTTGATCTTGTCATAGGCTTTGGCGAGGTCAATTTTTAGAACCATATTCCCCTGTCTACCTTTCATCCCCTTGAAAGAGTGAGCCACCTCTTGCAGAATGATGATGTTATCCGTTATGTGTCTGTTGGGGACAAAACTAGTCTGCTCTTCATCGATGAGACTTGGCAAGAAACATTTAAGCCGGTCAGCAAGGCACTTGGCAATCACTTTGTAACTCACATTGCAAAGTCCTATTGGTCGGAAATGGGACATGGTTGTCGGATTGTCAACCTTAGGAAGCAGAGCAAGTAAAGTGGCATTGCATTTCGCAATCAGCTCAGGGTTCTGGAAGCATTGCACAAGGTAAGCATAGAAGTCCTCCCCGACAATCTGCCAGCATTTCTGATAAAAAAGTGCGTGGTAGCCATCCTTTCCGGGAGCTTTGAGGCTGCCCATATTTTTTATTATACTGACAATCTCAAGCTCAGAGGGGGTGGTGCAAAGGCCCTTAACTTGCTCGCTATCAATTGCAGGGAAGCCAGCTGTGATCTCAGGTCTTACAACACCAGGGTCTGCAAAGAGATGGATGTAGTAGTCCCTGGCCAAACTCGCAAGGTCATTGGAATCCTCGATCCACACACCATTGCTGTCTTGGAGCTTGAGAACTCTGTTACGTCTTCTCCGGGCAAGAGCTATGTTGTGGAAGTATTTCGTATTTTTATCACCTTCGAGTATCGAATTAGCTCGCGCCTTCTGAATCCACAAGAGCTCCTCCTGCCAAAGGGTCTCTTCAAGTTCTTCACGGACTCGGGCTTCTTGGTCAAGGGAGGCAGGGTGCGGGTTAAGATCATTCTGACTTTCCAACCTCTCAAGGCGCTTGGTGAAATTCTTCTTTCTCCAAAAGATGTTACCGAAGGTTTCCTTATTCCAAGTGAGGAGAGCTATCTGGAGGTCTTGCAGAGAGGAGAGAAAATCTTCCCCCATCTTCCACGAGCTGGCAACAGTTGGTTGGAAATCATGGTGTGCCAGCCAAGGAGCAAGGAATCTGAAAGGCCTCTTGTTTTGATGGCTCGCTTGATCCGGGGAATTGCAGATAAGTAACGGCCTATGATCCGATCGAAGACGCGGCAAATGAGAATTGGAGGTGTCTGGATACATTTGGAACCATTCCTCATTACAAAGAGCGCGGTCAAGGCGGCAAGAGAGGCTGCCTTTAAACCACGTGAAGTTAGGCCCCACAAAACCAACATCCAGAAGGCCACAGTCATCAATACACCTGTTGAAGTTGGCTGCCCGGTGAGGGTTGAAAGCAGCCCCACCCTGACATTCCGAGGGGAAACGGATGGAGTTGAAGTCACCTGCAAGAAGCCAAGGCTCTGAGATGGTCCGCTCCATATTACGAATAGCGTTCCACAGAGGAATTCTGTCATGGTCAGTAGGCTTTGCGTAGACAGCAGTCAGCAAGACAGACTTGTTGTCCTGCAAAACAGTACATCGGCAGTGTAAGAATTGAGGACTACTGTCAACGACAGAAATGGTAAAATTGGTGTCATTCCAGAGGATCCAAATTCCGCCGGAAAACCCAATAGCATCAACTTTGACAAATTTGTTGAAACCCATAGACCGAATAACGTCAGTCGCGTCCTGACCACTGATTCGTGGCTCAACGATAAAGACGATGTTCGGTCTATACATACGACAATAATCTTTAAAGACAACAAGAAATTTGGGGTTTTTTGCCCCCCGGCAGTTCCAAGAAAAGAGACGGATCATTAAAAGAAGAGGGGTAGGGGAAAGCCCAAGCAATCAGAGGGGCGAAGTCACGGTCGGCAGAGCAGGATTGATATCCTCCGACGGGCACCGGGTCTCCATATCCCCGAGCTTTTCCGACATCGCGGTGTCCACTGATTCCACCATCGTTTGCCAAGCAGCATCTTCCGTTATGGCTAGGGGAGATGAGATAAATTCCTCAATTGCTTTCCGTGAGATAGGAATAGCACCAGACTTCAGCTTCGCCGATAGCTCTTTCACGACAGTTCCAGGAGAGGATTTCCTCTTGTTGACTGACAGGTTGACAATTCCGGGCGTGACATCCTTCAGGGGCTGCCTGGCTGCCTTCTTCATATTGGTTCTCTGGCGAATTGATTTCGAAGGGTTTGGTTCAACATTTTCTCTCATGTCAACCGTCTGGGGAGAATCAGAGTTGGTCGGGGAGGGAGGAATGCCCAGAGAGGCAGAAGTGGGCAGAGGTTTCTTCTTGTCATCCATACTGGGCTGGTTCAGATGGGCCGCAATCAGAGGAGTGGGGGAATTTGACTGGGCCTTGGGGGCATCCGAATTGCTGAGCGGCCCAATGGCTCTCCATTCTTGGCCCAAAGTCGACTTTTTGGGAGTCAAATCTGACTTTCCATTGGCTTCAATCACTTTCCCTGGACTAAGAACAGAGTTACCTTTCTTAGTCTCAGTCCTCTGCTGATTCTTTCCTTTTCCAGGCTTAACGGTCATTCCTTTGCTTGGCTCGCCAGCGGATTTAGCCGAGAATGTCGGGATGGGCTGCCCGGAAGATCCTCCTTTGTTAGAAGAAGGTGCAACGGTCGGGTTCGGATTTTGCGCCACTTTCCTATTAGGTTTCCTTCCTTTCCGCGTCACCTGCATCCAAGGGCCATAGCCGGCGGGGGGCTCCGGCGAGGAAGGCGGCGGTTGGGACACTTCGACGTTGTTGGCCGTGGTGGCTCCGACGGGGAGAAGGCTTCCGGGGAGATAGGGGCAGCTCTGCTCCAGGTGGCCGATTCTACCGCAGTGGAAACAAATATCCGGCAGGTTTTCATAGAGAACCGGCTGCCAGAATCCATCGAGACGGATGCGAGTCGCGAGGGGTTTCGACATGTCTAACTCAACTGCAAGCCGGGCAAATTTCCCACGTTCCAACTGTTCAGTATGGTAGTCCAGTTTAACTGTACGCCCCAGTAGATTGCCCAGGGCGAACAGAACTTCACGTTGATAAAAATGGACAGGCAACTCGGGGAGCTGGACCCATGCTACAACAGATTTGTGGGGCTTGTCAGAAGTGCGGAACGAGGGTGACCATTGATGCACAACCAGGTAATGGTCAAGGATTACCCACGGTCCGCCTGTGAGAGCATTAAGATAGTCTTGGTCTTCACTGAAGGTCACCAGAAAAGAGTTGTTATTTAAGTCCATGATGTCCATAGATCCCTTTGGTCGCCATTTCCATCGGATTTGAGAGCACAAGTAAGTATAGGACACCGAGCGCCCCAGCAGGCGGATTACCAGCGTCTTCTTCCACGGGATGCAAAGCCGTTCTTTAAATTGAGTCGAAATTCTGAGTTCTGGCTCACCCTCAAAGGACCCAGTCTCCAGATCATTCTGCCCAACAAAGGTCCATTGATTGAGCTTCTTCAAGGTGGAAGGCGACGGCCCCGCCAAGGCAGATTTGAAGTTAAGCGTGACTGTGGCCGGCTGAGATAGCGGGAGAGAAGAGGAGACTGGAAAGGACGGAGATTGGTTCTCCGGCGGACGACCAGCTTGGGCTAAGGTCATCGCCGGAGAAGGAGCGGGAGGGAGGTTTTCAGAGAGCATTTTCTTTCTATAGAAAGACTCTTTGATTGATCGCTTTCATGATGTAATCTATGATATGATATTATAGTTGTATGATGATGATATGGCAGTAATAAGATTACAATAAACACATGTTTTGAAATGATACATTTTTTTCTCAGAATATAACAAAATAGATATCATTGTGTAGATCATAAACAAAAAAGATATGATGTCATATCACTGTCATATCATGATATTAACTATTCAAAGATTATATGAGATGTGTGGATCGTAATCGTAGACAAGAGTTTAATGGATTGCTCTAAATTCGTGTTTCATGTGATTCCGTGGAATACAATTTTGTACCATATGATCAAGCTCCTATTTTCAATTACCAAAATTATTCAAAAAAAAAAAATTCTTATAAAAGAAGAGAAGAAAAAAAGAAGCAATCCATATAACATAGTCTAATAATTTCCGCAATTATTACAAAAAATGGAATAAAAATAGTAGCATCCCATATCCATACTCTCTCCACCACCACTTCCTAGCTTGGACAGTACTGATAATGATATGTATGTAAAACGATTGATCAACCACTTCCCAACTACACCATCATCCTCTCTCTCGCTCTCGTTCTCGTTCTCGCTCGCGTGCGTTTTAAATAATTCGCGAGTCGCGTTCAAAAAATGAATCTTATATCATTTTCTCACGTTCGTTCGCGTGTTACACAGCGAACGAAGCGACGGAGAAGCTAGCCGTGGTGGGATTCGGCACCAACATGATCAGCTACCTGACCACACAGCTCCACATGCCCTTAACCAAAGCCGCCAACACGCTCACCAATTTCGGCGGAACCGCCAGCCTGACTCCCTTACTCGGCGCCTTCCTCGCCGACTCTTACGCCGGCCGCTTCTGGACCATCCTCGCCGCCTCCCTCGTCTACCAAGTCGTAAGTAGCACCCTAATTAGGACCCAATTGCAAGGAAATAAAAATTTAGGTATTAAATCGAAAAAAAAAGAGTAACGATCCCTAAACATTTTGTTTGTTCGAATTTGATTGTGTGATAGTTCTATTATTAATTGTGATTTAATTCCAGGGCATGGCGGGCCTGACGCTGTCCGCCATACTCCCGAACCTCCGCCCGCCGCCCGCCGCCTTGCGACGGCGGCGGCGGCGGGAAGATCTGCCAGCAGGCCGACACGGGCCAGCTGGCGATACTGTACCTGTCGCTGGCGCTGGCGGCGGTCGGAGCGGGCGGGATCCGGCCGTGCGTGGTGGCGTTCGGGGCGGACCAGTTCGACGAGACCGACCCGAAGCAGGCGGCGAAGACGTGGCGGTACTTCAACTGGTACTACTTCGTGATGGGGGCGTCGATCCTGCTGGCGGTGACGGTGGTGGTGTGGGTGCAGGATAACGTAGGGTGGGGGTGGGGGCTGGGGATCCCGACCCTGGCGATGTTTCTGTCGATCGTGGCGTTCGGGTTCGGGTACCCGTTGTACCGGAATTTGAACCCGGTGGGCAGCCCGTTTACCCGGCTGGTGCAGGTGTCGGTGGCGGCGTGGCGGAAGAGGAAGGTGGGGGCGGTGGCGGATCCGAGGGAGCTGTATCGGAATGAGGAGATCGATGGGCCGATTTCCGTGGGCGGGAAGCTTCTCCACACCAAGCAAATGAGGTAACTAATTCATTCCCTTTTAATTACTTGATTTAATTTCCTTCATATTTATATGAAAATATATAGTTCCCTTAATCTCTTTATTAGCTATATTAAGGTTAAATGTAATAATTTTCATTTTTCAACATCTTTCGAACGACTTGAGTAATTATTGATATTGGTTGGTATTTGAAATGATATCAGAGCTTTCTATGATCATGAGATTTTCAATTTGAATTCTGATGAACCAAATTGTCAAGTGCATGGTATTCTAGAACTATGCAAATTTCAAGTTTATATGAGTATATTGAAGTAATTATTAGCACCGCTGCACCGATTAGTTTGTGAGATAAAAAAATGTTCAACTTGTGAATTTCAACTTATTGTCTGGTTAAGTAGTAAAACATTAAGGTAGTATCAGGGTGGCTGGAAAAGCGATCAATGAGCTGGTACGAGTTTTATAATTCAATGCTTTAGAAATTGTATCTGGTCGGACTGAAAATATCATAATGTGCATTTCACGATAAACAAATTTATTTTAACAATATAAAATGATTGTACTATGATTAAATTATAATTTTAGTAAAATATTTTATTACTGATTTTTGTCATATAATTTTCGCTACGACTTCACAATCCGTGATTCATATGCGATTTCATTTGTCTGAACATGGTTGGAAGGATAGAGATATGGTGGTGGATGAGCAAAGGCCCCAGAATTTGTGGTGGGTGGGTAGTGGTGGTGGTGGGAGTAAACACGATGGGTTTTGGCTGTACAAAAAGGAAAGGGAACAGACAAAATTAGAGCCATCGATTCCTCTTCTTGTGTGTAGCTATTTGGAGTTTAGTGTGCGTAGGCCCGTAATCAGTCTATCCATGTCTCATCATCTTCTGCAGGTAGGGATGCCAACAAAATCCGAACCCACGGGTACCCACTCGATCCTTTACCCGTGTTGACGGGTTTTGGGCCGGGTTCGGGTTTAAACCCGCTACACTATTTATTACTGGGTCGGGTTGGGTTTGGGTTTAGGTAAACCAGACCCATGGGTATCCGCCCACACACATATAATTACTTTTCCGGTATATTTAATATTCTAAATAATATATCTTCCTTAAACAATTAATATTCTTTATGTTTGTGGAGACATGTATGATTTGTTTTTCTAATTGTTTAGAATGAAGTTGATATTATGAAGTGGAGAGTGAAGAAACTTAGTTGATGAGGAAGAAGCTTTCAATTAATCTTTTGTTTATAGATGTTTATCTTTAATTTTGAACAATTTGTATTGATCATTTGCGGTTTGCTTGTATGCTCTAGATTGGTGTTTTTTTGTATGATTAATTTGTATGAGAAAATTGATGTTAAACTTTTATTTTGAAAGAAACTTGTTATTGTAAATTTTTTACCACAAAAACCCACGGGTATCCATGAACCCGCGAATACCCAGCGGGTTGGGTTGAGTTTGAGTTTTTCAAACCTAACGGGTTTTACCCCAGGTTTTTTTGGCGGATAAACCCATGGATTTGGGTTTGGGTTTGACAAAACCCGCTCCAACCCGACCCATTGCCATCCCTATCTGCAGGAGTGTTCTTCAGTCATTCATTCATGCATTCACACTTCTATTTTCAATTAAATTATTAAATTTTCATTATACGAAAATAAATCAATGATGTGCCTCCGTATTTGGAATCTCTTTAGCTCGGTTTGAATTAAGGTTTAATGCGACAAATATACTTAAGAGCTTAATAATTCCAGTACGCACATGTTTACAGGTTCCTGGACAAGGCAGCAATAGTAACCGAGCAAGACGCCAAGGACTCCCCAAACCTATGGCGGCTCAACACGGTCCACCGAGTCGAGGAGCTAAATGTTTGAATTTGAAAAATATTTTATTTTGATAAATGTCATGTTTGGTCATTGAATTTACTAAAACGTGTCATGTTTTTTTACTAGAAAAAATTAATATAAATTTTGATCACTCGAAGTACCGAAACAATCCACATTTAGTTACTCTATGTTAGTCTCCGTCCAACTCAGTTAATGGAGTCTGTTAAGTGCTGACGTGGCAAACATAATCGCCTAGTCAGCCTGATTTAGCCCAACAAAAATAAAATCCTACCCGCCACATCATTAAAGCTAATTTAATCCAGCCCATGACCCAACCCTACCCTTTATCTTCTTCTCTATTTGACCCGACCCGACCCGACCTTCTTCATCCTTCCTCCACTCCTGCTTTCCCCAATGTTCCTAATTTGAAACCCAAATCAACTTCTTCTCTCGTCGGAGCAAAGTGAGGGAGGGATTCCCCTGGAGAAGCAGTTCCTGCTCATCTAGACCAACGACGGGTCTCGCCTCGAATCCGACGATCAAGATGGAGTTAATCAGATCGTCTACATCGCCTTCCTCCCTCTGATCAAGACCTCGTTCCACGCTTGCCATCAGGGGAGCGAAAAAGATGAGCTGGAGCTCGTTTTGGAGAGCGGCGACGAGAGCAAGACATCTCAAAAGGGATCTTGGTAGATTTCTTTTATATTAAAAAAATATTATTTTATAATTTATTTTAATTTCAAAAATGAGAAAATCAAAATAAAATCAAAATATGGTAAGACCGCAGGAGGTTATAATGGAGGGAAAAACCTTAATGAACGAGTTAGCTGCTATTTGAAAAGATGAAGAGTTGTTCTGGTATTAGAGATCAAGAGTGGGTTGCCTCAAGGTGGATGACCAAATTACAAGTTTTTCCACTCCTCTACTGTCCAAAGAAAGCAGAAAAAGAGAATCGTTTCACTTAAGGACGATGAGGGCAATGACATCTCAAACCCTGTGGATCTCTCATCAGTCATCTCTCTGATCATGTCACCAACTTCAACCAATCACCCTTGACAAAAAGTTCCCTCAACTGGTCACACCTGAAATGAATGAGGAATTCGGCTTACCTCCTACAATTGAGGAGTTTAAAGAAGCTGTCTTTGGCTGAGGTGACCTATTGGCCAAAGTTCGGCGATCCGAGGCTGGACTCCCAATGTTCTGCTTCAGCTTGCAATTGAATTGCTGACTACCAGCTAAGATTAACATGTTCTGAAACAAATAATACACCATGTTTGGCAATTGATTTAAGTTTTGAAATCTGGCTCTACTACCTCATTATGCATGATTGGACGTTAACAAATGGCATTAAAATTTAATTAAAATAGGAGGTGTCAGTAACTAGTCATTATGGGTTAGCAGTAATTAATATACAGAGCTAGCTAGTTAAGATAGTTTAGTCTATTATTCTAACCTAAGTACGTACGTAGGATTAATTGCTTGACCCAGAAAGGCAAGGTCGCCGATGGCAACGTGGGGAGGATCTGCTTTCCCGGCGGCAAACGTGATCGACGTACATCCCATATGGCGACTGCAGGCTGGCCGTTGCATTCATCGGCACCATCGGCGACCTTGCCTTTCTGGGTCAAGCAATTAAATCGTACGTACGTACTTAGGTTAGAATAATAAACTAAACTATCTCAATAACTAGCTCTATATATTATATATATTACTACTAACCTAGCTATAATGATCATCGCGTGCCCATTTATTGTTGATTGAATTGTAGCTCTAGGATGAGATCTAGATAACAGGATCTGGACCATCGGTTTGAGGAAGCCTAGCCTATATAAAGGATGTTCTTCCTCGTTTATACCTCACTCACCCACTCTTTCATTTTGTATGCAACCAGCTGCGGTCAGAGAGAGTTTTCCCACTTAGCGAGTTGAGCAAGACTTGTCTAGCATTCGTCCAAGTTTCGAGTGTTAATAAGACGCCGCACGAAAAAATAAGTCCGTGGCAGTACCCTACAGAAAGAACATGACGATAACGTTCGCTGTAGCACCATGCCGCTCTTTGGGCATACAAGGTCGCCGGCCGATTGATGACATCTCGTAAGATACCGAACCTTCCTCCTTCTTCTTCTTCTTCTTCTTCTTCTTCTTCATTTGTTCTTTTATTGTTGCAGAGTTGGAGAGTCTTTATTAAGAGTAGCAGCCTCACCGAATGAGTTATCGGTGTTGAAGTACCCACGGCGGGCCAATGCCGGACTTGGGAGGCAGTACAACTGTCGTCGTCGTTGCATCCCGCTTACTGTGAAAGGTAATGAAAGTTTACTGACCAACTAGATTTGTTTCATCCAATGTATATATATCCTCTGCAACTCACTAGCTTGTTAACTGTTCTTTAGCAACGGGTATATGGACATTTAGCGACGGCCGGAGCGTCGCTAAAACATTTAATGACGAACGACCATCCGTCGCTGAACTCACTGTCCTTAAATTTTATAGCGACGGTTTTGGTCGACCGTCGCCTTGGCCGTCGACAAATGTTAACGACAGCCTCGACCAACACAATTTTCCAGACAACCGTCACTAAATAAATATTCCAGATATTATTGTAATTGTTTAGCGACAGAGTTGGCCGTGTCTAAAAGCTACTGACCGTCTAAAAGCTACTGTATTTTGAAGAGCCACCTGCTCTAATAACATCCCTAGTTTGCTGTGATTTTCCATTTCTCTAATAATCACAAATGTCACAAATCCAGAATTGTAAATCCATTCATAAACCATACAAAAAATATATAACCATAAATCCTTACAAAGTACCATCAAATCCAAAATTGTAAATCAATGTCAAACTTACAAAAGTTCAAAGCCTACAATCTAAAGTCAATACCATTTCAATCTAAAAATTGATACTTCCCCTGCAACCCTTCCATGACTTGCAGCCCTGCAAATTAACAAACCACAACAAAGTTCCAATCACAAATCCACTAGCAAACAAGTTTTCTAGCACAACTTAAGGGCTTGCCTGTTAAAGTTCAATCCTTAACATGCAGGCTATGATAGTTCAACATTCACTAGCAAACAAGTTTTCCTAGCACAGCTTAAGGACTAAACAAGTTTTTCCTAGCACAGCAAACAAGTTCTCTTCTCGGTTGAGAAGAAAAGAAAGCTTCGTTTTCCCTCTATTTCTCGAGTCAAGTAGTGCCTTTTAAGGAGTGCTACCCCTGCTGTCTCGAACCGCCAGTCGAAGAATGGGCAGAATGCTGAGCAGTGGAGTGAAGAGGATGCTGAAAATATACAACAACAAAAAAACACCACTTAAAAGACATAAACACACAATTTCCTCTGAAAGTTTTTACATTCAAAACAACAACTTACTTGTTCTACTAACATAGCCAGCTCCAATGGAATAGGAACATTCATGTGCTGAAAAATCTTGACAACCCACTCTTCATACATCTTATTCTTCTTCAAGCTTTGTTGTAACTTAGACAACAAAATGTGCTCACTTCCACCACCCGAAATTACAGGAGGCGGCGTTGGTTTGGGTTTACCATCGTTCTATGAATGTCGCTAATTTACCTTTTTTTCTTGTAGTGAATGCAACAGCGGCAGGTAGTACCACTACCAAGGCATCATCTTTGGACAGCTCTCACTTCCCTTCAGATTTCATGTTCGGAACCGCTTCTTCAGCTTACCAGGTTGCTTAATTAGTTGACGCTCGCTCACCCTTTCATTCAACTGTTTCCTCGTGTCATGAATTGATCGCCACTTCGAAATGCGACTAAAATGGATGGATTGGATTTTCTAGTATGAAGGAGGTGCAAGAGAAGGCGGCAAGGGGCCTAGCATTTGGGACACTTACACTCAAACACATCCAGGTCAAACAACGTAACTATTCCCACTAATTTGGTTTCACAGTGAAATTTCCCTTTCCTTCAATAGCTTAATTTCTTCCTTGTTCTTCTCCTCTTGGGCAGACTTGGTGGAGGGCAGAAGCAATGGCAACGTTGCAGTTGATTCCTATAATCGCTACCAGGTAATTAGTAGCTACCAGTACTCTGTAGGGGCAGAGCCAGTAATTTCATACCGGGGGCCGGAACTTGGTGTATTATGACAAAAAAATACTAATTAAAATATAAATATATAATTAACATTACTGACAGTACTGAATATATTTAAGAAAAAAAGAATGATCTAAAAAAAACTTTTTTATCATGTGCTTTGCTGAAATGGTTACACGCAGGAAGATATCAAGATCATGAAAACAATGGGATTCAATACTTACAGGTTCTCAATTGCGTGGTCCAGATTATTACCAAGTAAAGCAAACCTGCCCTCCATCGTTCTCCCTCTTTACAATTACCTCTATTCCTTTTACTCAAAGGTGGTTGGTTTGGTTGGATTTCAGATGGAAAGGTGAGTGGAGGAGTGAACCAGCAAGGAGTTGATTACTACAACAACCTCATCAACTCTCTCCTATCCAATGGTAATCTGAAAGCACAAAATCCCTTCTCTTTCTTTCACCGTTGGTTGCCAGTTAGTTAGTCATTCAGCTTCTTGAATCTGCAACTTCACTCTAGGGATCCAGCCATTTGTCACACTCTTCCACTGGGACACTCCTCAAGGCCTCGAAGACGAATATGGCGGCTTCCGGTCTTCTAGCATTGTGTAAGAACTTACCTCACCTAATATCTCTCTAACACGGCCTCTCAAACAAAAGTCAACCCATGGACTTGAAATTTGCACAGGCCCACCATACCAAGTGCTTGAAAGACAACGGTTAATATTGATTGAGGGTCGGGGAGATTCGAACACATGACCTTTCAGTTCTAGACTCTGATACCATGTTAAGAACCAGTTGATCCCGATAATTAACTCGAGTTGTTGAGAGAAGGTTATGCTGGATGTTATACTACCACTCTCTAACAGCTGACACTTGAGAACAATTGCAATTACGATGCAGGCAAGACTTCACGGATTATGCCGACCTGTGTTTCAAGGAATTTGGAGACAGAGTCAAGCACTGGATCACATTCAACGAGCCTTGGACGTTTAGCTCCGGCGGTTATGCTGGCGGACCTCTAAGAGTCGCCCCTTTCCGATGCTCAGAGTGGCAGCTAGCCGATAGCACCGGTGGTGATTCTGGGACCGAGCCTTATGTCACTGCTCACCATCAGCTCCTTGCTCACGCTGCTGCTGTCAAACTCTACAGGGTTAATTATAAGGTGGAAAAAGTGATCAATCTGCATTAGCCCCTGAAATGAACTCTGATATTGCATGTCTAAGCTGATTGTCGAATCTTCAACACTCTTCAGGCAACTCAAAAAGGACTCATAGGAATCACGAATGTGTCATACTGGTTCCTGCCACTCTCTGACAGCGATGAAGATAAAAAGGCAGCTCAGAGAGCCCTGGATTTCATGTATGGATGGTGAGTGAATCGACAGCCGGCCCTTCTCCGGTCGAATTGGTTGCCAAAGCATATATATGAAACTTTGAGGATTTGGGTTGCAGGTTCATGGATCCTATAGTCAATGGCGACTACCCGGATGTTATGAAGACCAACATAGGAAGCAGCAGACTGCCACAGTTCTCAGCCCAACAATCAGATCTTCTGAAGGGTTCATTTGACTTCATTGGCCTCAACTACTACACTGCTTCTTATGCTTCCAACCATCCGCAATTCGACCCTCAGCGTCCCTCTATGTTCTCTGATCGTCGTCTCCAACTCTCAGGTAATCCTTGCTCCCTCCCAACTGTCTTTGCACAACCTTGAAAACGAACAATCAACGAATGAATGAAAAAATGTCTCCAACTTTGCTGTCACGATGCTTTGCAGCTGAGCGCAATGGTGTACTTCTTGGTCCCAAGGTACGTTTTGTGCAATCTCAACACTAGAACCTAACTGAATCAGCCCATGAATCGGGATATTTGATTAAGCCGCGATGAACTTTTTCGAAATAACAGGTGGGTTCAGGTTGGGTGTACGATTATCCCAGAGGATTTGAGCAGCTGCTAACCTACACCAAGACCAAATACAAAGATCCTGTCATATACATTACCGAGAATGGTAACCAGTTAACCACAGCTCCATTAACCCTTTCCAATCCATTCAGTTTTTCATCGAACATGATCCTTTGCACCCTTACCGAGAGGAATTTTACAACGCTTTAAAGTATTGGTGCTTTAGTTTTTGCTTTTAGGGTATAACTTGAAGTTGTACCTTTAACGTTATGGTACAAGTTCGGCTTGTACCTATTATACCCTTTTGTAAAGTACCTTTATGGTACAAACTAAAGTTGTATCTTTATGTTATGGTACAACTTCAAATTGTACCAGAACATAAAGGTCAAATTCACTTAATGGTACAACTTCGAATTTGTACTTTTAACGTACGATACAACTTCAAGTTGTACTTTAAAGCACCAATACTTTAAAACATAGTAGAAGTGCTGACCGTACCAAATGTACCTTCTGCTGTAGGAGTTTATGACGCCACCGATGAATCATCGCCCAAGGCAGAAGCTCTTCTGGATGTTTCCAGGGTTTCCTACTTCCAGGGCCATCTTGAAGCTGTTCACAATGCAATCAAGTGAGCCTATCCCAACCACTGAAAGCAATTTCCTGTAGACTAGCAGTGTACTAAGGATTTTTTGCTCATTGTGCAGGGAAGGAGTGAAGGTGAAGGGATTTTTTGCGTGGTCATTACTGGACAACTTTGAATGGAGTGCTGGTTACTCCGCAAGATTTGGTCTTGTCCACATAGACTACAAGAACGGGCTGCAGAGACATCCAAAGCTCTCTGCCTTCTGGTTCCAGAACTTCCTGCGCCAAAATCGTCTCTCTTCACTAGTAATTAGTAAAACCATGCTGCTTTTGCTAATCTCTAGCTTGGTCTAAAAGAAATGGCTGAAGTTGTGGCTGTCAAGAGAGGTGAAGCTGAGGATGAACTGAAGTCTTACCTGGCTTTAGTTCAGGAGGGTTGTTGAAGTTACAAGGTGGAGGTTCGAACCAGTGAAGTCGAGCAAGTTGGCGACAGACGAAATAAATTTAAACAGAGTCTATTTTTTAGTTTATGCTGTGTCGTTTCGGACAAGTTTCATTTTGGTCCTTGAGTTCGGTTTCTTGTTAGTTAATTAAGTCCTCCAAATCTCAGAGCTGTTGAAATTTGGAGAAGAAGTCAGCTGTTTAATTGCAGATTAGTAGATGGTTACTTGAGTCTTGTTAGCTGAATTTTAGGAGCAGAATGATCGTGTCAGTTAGTGGATGCCTGAGTTGTAGGGTAAAGCTCTATTTCTTTCGTTTCAATATTCAATAATAATTTATTGTATGTTTATCCCTAATCTGTTAACACACACACTACCGATGTTGTCTTTTTCGCCTAATTCATCATGAAACAATTATAGTGTATGAGACCAAACTCTATTACCTCACTGTCCGACTCAAACAAAATGATAATTTTTATGTGAAAATCTCATTGTCCGACAGCAGTTAAATTTTGACGACCGTATAGTGATACTATCGCTTAACTGTATAACCAACAATTGTCGATTAACGGAAACTACTAATTGTCGCTTACTTGATTACCACCCCTTAATCAAATAACACAATAATATGACTATGAATATGTTGTACATTGGGACTGTCAAGTTTTAGTTCAAATTTTAACACAAGATCCTTCTACAAGGCCATAGAGGAGAGCTGTCTGTCTGGATAGGATTCATGGTCCCAACCAATCCTTCCATCGAACTCTAAAATTAAGGTCAAATCCGTACCTACAGAATTTTAATGTTAGGTGTGATTGTAGATCTAATTTCTAATTTCCCTTAATCTGATAATATTCGTTATTGTTTCTTTTTTTCTGGTGAAATAAAAGTGATACCTATTGTAAAAAAAGAAAAGAAGACGACGAAGAAGAAGAAGAAGATAGCGTTCTCAAATAAAACGTCAATAGATAAGTAGACAGGGCAACATCCCCCGATAAGCTTAGGAGTAGCAACGTACGTGGAGCTGCGTTTACCTCTCATCTCGCTCAGTGGCGCCCTCATCTTTTACACTTACCTTGAACTTAAAAACATTCGCCTCCCTGAAGAAGACTGTAGTTGATGATGCGACTCATGAATCACAATGATCATTCCCTGGTCCCAACCATAAATGAAGTAGCCATCCTAAACCCACCCACCATGTCATTTTAGCTGCCAGATCATTCATCATTACAATATCGTGCGCCATTGGAGGTACCTCTGTGTGCCCTGCACAAAGAAAATGATAGCGTTCACTGTAGCAGCCTGCAGTTTTTTGGGCATACAAGGTCGCCGGCCGATTGATGGCATCTCGTAAGATACCGAACCTTCCTGATTCTCCTTCTCCATCTCCATCTTCTTCGTCTTCTTCATCTGTTCCTTTATTTATCGTTGTAGAGTTGGAGAGTCTTTGTTAACAGTAGCGGCCTCACCGGAGGAGTTATCGGCGTTTAAGTACCCACGGCAGGGCAATGCCAGACTGAGGAGGCAGTACTGCCGTCTTCGTTGCATCCCATTTACTCTGAAAGGTAATTGAAGTTTACTGATCAACTAGATTATAGTTTCATCTAATGTATATATATCCTCTGCAACTCACTAGCTTGTGTGCAATGCAAACAGCAGCAGTTAGTGCAAGTGGCACCAAGGCATCATCTTTGAACAGCTCTCACTTCCCTTCCCATTTCATGTTTGGAACCGCTTCTTCAGCTTACCAGGTTGCTTAATTAGTTGATATGCTCACCCTTTCTTCATTCAACTGTTTCCCATATACTAAAATGGATCGGTTCAAGTTTTTAGTATGAAGGAGGGGCAAGAGAAGGCGGCAAGGGGCCTAGCATTTGGGACACTTACACTCAAACACATCCAGGTCAACCAACTTCCCACCTCACAGTTCCCCGCTAATTGGTTCACAGTGCAATTTCCCTTTCAAACAGCTTTCTTCTTGTTCTTCTCCTCTTGGGCAGAATTGGTAAAGGACAGAAGCAACGGCGACGTTGCAGTTGATTCCTATAATCGGTACCTGGTATGTAGATACCACTCTGCATCATGGGTCTGTGTGGTGTACTACTAACAAAAGAATGAACCTTGAGCATAAGCTACAGCAAGGTGGCAACATTTCTGACACAAGTAGCTCTTGAAATGGTTACATGCAGGAAGATATTGAGATCATGAAAACAATGGGATTCAATGCTTACAGATTCTCATTTGCCTGGTCCAGATTATTACCAAGTAAACCAAACCTGCCCTCCATAGTTCCCCCTTGACATTTACCTCTATTCCTTTTACTCAGAGGTGGTTGGTTGGATTTCAGCTGGAAAGTTGAGTGGAGGAGTGAACAAGCAAGGAGTTGATTACTACAACAACCTCATCGACTCTCTCCTATCCAATGGTAATCTTAAACCTTCTTCAAGCACAAAATCTTATCTCTTTCACAGTTGATTACCAGTCAGTTAGTCATTCAACTTCTTCAATCTGCAACTTCACTCTAGGGATGCAGCCATTTGTCACACTCTTCCACTGGGACACTCCTCAAGGCCTCGAAGACGAATATGGCGGCTTCCTGTCTTCTAACATTGTGTAAAACTAAACTCACCTGATATCTCCTTAGTCTGCAGTCATTTCTCTACTCTGCTGACACTTCAGAACAATTTTATTATGATGCAGTGAAGACTTCGAGGATTATGCTGAGGTGTGTTTCAGGGAGTTTGGAGACAGAGTGAAGCACTGGATCACATTCAATGAGCCTTGGACATTTAGCTCTGGCGGGTATGCTGGCGGACCTCTAAGAATCGCCCCTTTCAGATGCTCACATTGGCAGCTAGACGATAGCACCGGTGGTGATTCTGGGACTGAGCCTTATGTCACTGCTCACCATCAGCTCCTCGCTCATGCTGCTGCTGTCAACCTCTACAGGCTTAAATATCAGGTGGAAAGTCAATCTTCATTAGCACTTAATTGAACTTGACGTGTAAGCTAATTGAATCTTGAACACTTCTCAGGCAACTCAAAATGGAGTCATAGGAATTTCGAATGTGTCACACTGGTTCCTGCCACTCTCTGACAGCAAGGAAGATGAAGAGGCAGCTCAGAGAGCCGTGGAGTTCATGTATGGATGGTGGGTAGATTATCCCCCTTCTCCCGTCAAATTGGCTGATCTCCATATCTGTTGCCAAAGCATGAAGCTTTGGGGATTTGGGTTGCAGGTTCATGGATCCTATATTCCACGGCGACTATCCGGAGATTATGAAGTCCTATATAGGAAGCAGACTGCCACAGTTCTCATCCCACCAATCAGATCTTCTGAAGGGTTCATTTGACTTCATTGGCCTCAATTACTACACTGCTTCTTATGCTTCCAATCATCCACAATTCGACCCTCAGCGTCCTTGTATGTTCTCTGATCGTCGTCTCAAACTCTCAGGTAATCCTTGTTCCCAACTGACTTGCACAACCTGAAACCAGAACCAACGAGTGATTGAAATAGTCTCGAACTTCACTGTCATGATTCTTTGCAGATGAGCGCAATGGTGTACTTATTGGTCCCAGGGTACGTTTGTACAAACTCTAAACTGAAAAGCTAACTGAATCAGTCCATGAATCAAAATATTTGATTAAGCCGAGAAACTAATGAACGTTTCGAAATAACAGGTGGGTTCAGGTTGGGTGTACGATTATCCCAGAGGATTTGAGCAGCTGCTAACCTACACCAAGACCAGATACAACGATCCTGTCATATACATTACCGAGAATGGTAACCAGTAACCATAGTTCCATTACCCTTTCCAATCCATTCAGTTTTTCATCGAACACTATCCTTTAAACCCTTACCAAATGCACCTTCTGCTATAGGAGTTTATGACAGCACCGATGAATCTTCGCCCAAGGAAGAAGCTCTTCAGGATGTTTCCAGGGTTTCCTACTTCCAGGGCCATCTTGAAGCTGTTCACAATGCAATCAAGTGAGCTTATCATAAACGAAAACAATTTCATGCAGTTTAGCAGTGTACTAAGGATTTTGCTTATTGTGCAGGAAAGGAGTGAAGGTGCAGGGATACTTTGCGTGGTCATTGCTCGACAACTTCGAATGGAGTGCTGGTTACTCCCTAAGATTTGGTCTTGTCCACATAGACTTCAAGAATGGGCTGCAGAGACATCCTAAGCTCTCCGCCTTCTGGTTCCAGAACTTCCTGCGCCAAAATCGTCCCATCGAAAATTCATTAGACCTGTCATCTCAGAACTTGCAACTCATGGATTCTACATATTAGTTGGAACATGTATCTCGTCACTTTGCACTAGTAATTAGTAAAACCATGCTGCTTTAGTTTCTTGCTTATTCATGTAAAGCTTTTGTTACTCTCTAGCTATTTACTTACCAAACAAATTCGACTCCTAATTCTAGTACAGGGAAATGAGTTTGGCTATGATGCAGAATGGAGTAAGCTTCAGCACCCTGCAGATGCTTTCTTATTCGTCCGATTCATCATGAAACGATTATAGTGTATGAAATTGAGATCAGAATCTGTTGACGTCTTTGTCCGACTCGAACAAAATGACGAGAAATTTCCTGGAAAAGTTCAAAAGAGAAGTGAACAAATATCTATGTCCAGAGAAAATATCTTCTTTCTCCAAACGAACACACAAGGAAATAAAGACCATTCTTCCCTCTACTCCATTATCCTCCCCAAAACAAAAAGAGAAAAAATGGCCACGTCGTACCTTCCTTTCTGCCCATCACCGGCTTCACTCGCCGGAAAGAGCTCAAGCTTCCAAAGCAGCTTTCTTTCTTCCCACCATCCCGTATTCTCCAGGAAACCATGCACTCAGTCTCCTCCTCTCACATGCCGGCCACCAGCCGCTTCTTCTACAACCTCTTCTCTAATCACAGATTTCGACCTCTACGATCTTCTCGGAATCGATAGCTCAAGCAACCATTCCCAAATCAAAGTGGCTTACAGAGCACTCCAGAAGCGATGCCACCCGGACATCGCCGGCCCAGCTGGCCACGACATGGCAATCGTGCTCAACGAGGCTTACTCTGTTCTCTCCGATCCGAATTCGCGCCACGCTTATGACAAGGTCTGAACTTTACGCCTCTTTGTCCAAAGGGTCACTTCAAGTTTCGTTCTTTTTTTGCGATTCGATCTGAAAATCGGATGTTGAAAACAGGAACAAGCGAAGCTGGCCGAGCTACGCGGGTATACAGGGAAGCCGCTGTACTCGACGTGGGTGGGTTCGGAGAGCGAGCAGAGAGCTGTGTTCGTCGACGAAGTGAAGTGCGTTGGTTGCTTGAAGTGCGCCCTGTTTGCAGAGAAGACGTTTGGGATCGAATCGGTTTTTGGAAGAGCAAGGGTCGTTGCGCAGTGGGCTGATCCTGAACCCAAGATCCATGCCGCCATTGATTCATGTCCTGTTGATTGCATCTCGTACGGTCTAATTAACCCCTCTGTTTTTCAGAACGTGAAACGGATTTTGGTTGTTTAGGTGGATGCTGATAAGGTTGTGGATTTGACAGCGTCGTGGAGAGAGCAGATTTGGCTGCCTTGGAGTTCCTGATGTCGAAGCAGCCACGGGGGAATGTGAGGATCGGCGCAAGCAATTCAGCGGGACAGCGAGTCTCGAACATCTTCGTTGATGTGAAGAAGTTCAGAAACAGAGTAGCAGATGCCACTGACCCGAACTCCTCTAGGGTCAGTTCTCAAAACTTGCTACTCCTAGAAGAAATTTCTCCGCTGTGTTTGTTTCAGTAAATTGATGTTGCTTGCCGGAAAATGGGTGTCAATTGATTTTTCAGGAGGCGGACCTGCAAAGAGAGGCAAGGATGTCAGCAATTCAGACAATCAGATCACTCTGGTTGTACTGGCAAGCACCAAAGCATGCATCATCCACTCAACGCAGCTTGAAATTTCTCCCACTTCCACGACAACAAACATCAACCGAGCCAGACATTAAGAAGATCCACCAGGCTGCTGAGGCAAGAAGACAGGCACGAGAGAGCACCGGGCCCGTTCGTCCTGCTGCAGTGAGTCCAGAACAGGATGAATACTGGGTGCCGTCTACACGAGGTCTTCCATCCGCGTCAACGACTGACAAGAAAGCCGACTCGAAGTCAGCTGTGAAAGCTGGGTCGAGGAAGGTGAACAAGGGGAGAAGGTATGCAGTTGAAAAGGAGAGGAAGAGGAGCTTGACGATCCCAGCAGTGGCAGCAACAGTTGCGGCGGTTTTAGTTCACCTGCAAGTTGGGGGAAGGGAAGTGGTGAGTGGGGGATTGAATGAACATATAGGTGGTTCTTTTGCGCTTGATGTTGTGAACAGCTCGCTGATGCAGGTTTCATTAGCATGGATGACCTGGTTCTTTATTGGAGCCGCTGCGGTTGAGCTAGGTGAAGCCATAAGAAACAATAAATCATAGTGATCTAGTATAGAATACAGCTTTAGATGGATATTTTACTTGTATATGGATCTGTATGGAACTGGTATTCGTATAAATGTAGACAAACCCAAAAACTTGAATTACTTCTGAATTGTGATTGTGGATGTTATCAGAGGTCGGATCAATCAGGTGGGGAAAGATACTACTACGACTCATTGCGGTATTGATATAATGTAACAAGCTCAAAGGAATAGTCTTGTAAAGGTAGAAATTAAGACCAGTTCATCTTGTTCTTAATGAAACGACATCATTACAGTATTCAATCTTGGTTCAGATGCTTACATGCGACAATACATCAGTAGCAATATTTGGCAGTGCTGTATAACAGCATTTGAGGACTCGTATCCAGTATGACTTGGTCCAGATAGCATTCCACAGTTCCTTCTGAAGAACTCTTCTAATACCGGTACTTGGTGGAGTAGTCCTTAGGAGCAATGACTAGACCACGTCCCTTCCTCGCTCCACGATAGACGGTCTCCACAATGTCGACAAACTCCTGCTTGTCCTTGAGAGCCCAGTTGATCTTGTTGTTGTTTCCAGTGCCAAGATCGATCATGATGTGCTTGTTCCTGAAGAAGAACATAACTGTCGACGGATCGTACAGCTCGTACATTGTGTTGAAATCAGGCACCTCAGAGATGTCCACCAGGTATATCACCGCAAAGTTCTTCAACGTATCAGCGACAGAGGACAACACTTCATCCATCTGCAACCAAACCACCAAAGAGATAGAAACAATCTCTCAGGATCCAGATAACCAACAAACTCAGACATAAAACTCAATCAACCACATAGCACCCCCAATTAGACAAACAAAACAAAACATGATTGGCAGAAAAAAGTTCACCCTCAAAACCGGACACTTAGAAGAGAATCTCGCACTAGAGAAGCTTCAATATAGTTAAGCAACAAACACTATCGCACCACATTCCATAAGGGCTTCTGAAAGTTATAACGTGCTAGGTCCAGAGTAGTAATATATGACTTCTGGGGAAATTCCAAACCAGAGCAATCTATCATCGTGGTTGGATGATCGGAAACAAGGTTATCCTGATCATACGAAGCATTAGAATTTCGATACAATGATGAACAATCACCGGGAACAAAATACGATCCTAAGCAAACCCTAGAACAACAAACCCAAGACGATTCAACGTTCGAATATCAATCATAACCTAAGGTTAAACACGCAGCGGCCGGTTCCCAATCGGAACTCGGCGGGTGAAATCAGGATGTAGGGTTATTTTCGATTTGCGGAGGAGAGAGAGGAACCAATTACTTCCCTCTGAGGAAGAGCGAAGAGAGGGTGAAGGCTACCTGCATGCAGGTCTCATCCCAATCGTGGCCGAATCGGATGACCACGAGACGCTCTTCCTCGGCGAGGATGGCCTGGTCGACGGCCCACCCTGAGTGTAAGTGCGGCAGCAAGTACGACATCCCCGCAGCTTTGGCCTACTCAGTCCTCCTCTCCTCTCCTCTCCAGTAAGTTGATCTTCCTGAAATTGCAATCCCTAAATTCAGAAGGAAAGTCAGTCGTTGGATATTGTGTTGTTTCGTCGTAGTCAGATAGCCGAGCCGAGTGGCTAACTCTAAAGTAAAGGTGGAAAGAGCGGGCCGGATATAAACGAACAAGAAACGAGGCCCGGCCCATTGTATACTTTGGGGCCAACCCCGGACCATATGATTCAATAGCAAAATTGATTCAGTAGCAAAATTGATTGCTCAAAGCTGCTAGCTGCAATTTCGCCATACGAATGCAGAAATTGGAGATGGAAACTGAAATCGAATCAAATGTTACCATTGAAACAAGAGCTAGGGCGAGTGTTGTAATATGAATTGTTACCTGCATGCAAGTGTCGTCCCAGTCGTGGCCGAAGCGGATGATGACGATGCGCTCTTCTTCTGTGAGAATGGCCTGATCCACCGCCCATCCTGAATGCAGGTGCGGCAGCAGGTGCGGCAGCAGGTACGACATTCTTCACTCTTCCTCGCTCTCAATCTATCTCCCGAAGCTTCTCTCAAAGCAAGCAACCTCCGCAGTTTGTGTATATATAGAGGGAGGGAGGGAGGAAAAAAGGGCAGGCCGCTAAAGAAAGCTCAGCCCCTTCCGCCTTCCAATTGGATTCTTTGGTTCCTTGCATCTCCACCGCTCATCCGGTGCCACATGTACCGTCGTCAGTATATAAGAAAAGGGCAAAAACGGTCATTTTCCTCTTCAAAATCTTAAAGAGTTTTATGATTTTTTTCAATCGCAAACTTTGATCCAACAATTAACCTCATTTTGAAGATTAACCTAAATCCAAGTGTGGAGATCTTAATCACGGCAGCTGATGAGTTTAGTGGCTAACCTCTTAAGGGTTAGCACCACCCTAACTTACATGATAGTCATTAGATTAAGATAATCCTAACTTACATGATAGTCATTAGATTAAGATAATGATACAAATGTCAGAATTAAACAAGAGATATTTTAGCAATATTATTTGAAACCCTAATATTAAAACGGCTTAATTGCATTGTTGGTCATCGAACGAAAAACGTTCATGTTTGGTCACTCGAAATATTTAAATCCATTCATAGTCACTAGATTTAGTAAAACAATTCAAGTTTGGTCACTCTCCGTCCAACTCCGTTAATTATGTCTGATGTGACAGTCAACTCTCAAAGTTGACCGTTAAATATATGGCATGATAATTAAAAAAAATAAAAAATAAAAATTTCCACCTCATTATCACTAACACCAAAATGAAAAATAACAATAAAAATAATTAATTTTAACTCACTAAAAACCTCACTAATTATCACTCCCACCTCCATAGCACTAGCGGAAAAAATCCCAAGTTACACATGTTTTTAAAAAAATTTCTCAAAATACAAACGTTATGAAAATAATTCCCAATCTACGTTAGTTTGGGCCATCACCGCTGTCGACGAAGACAGTGATTGCATCACTGTTGTCGACGAAGACAGTGATTGCATCACCGCTGTCGACGAAGACAGTGATTGCATCACCGCTGTCGACGAAGACAGTGATTGCATCACCGCTGTCGACGAAGACAGTGATTGCATCACTGCAGTACACGGCCGCGGTGAAGGCCTGACCTGCGTCGAAACTTTAAACAAACGTAACTTTGTGCTCGGTTATCCGATAGTAGCGAAATTTTTTTTGATTCCGCATAATTTTTCGAGATCTTGCAAGCCGCAAATTACCGTAGGCGGTTTGGTCCCGCCTTCGTCTCGAAAATATGTCGTTTGCTACCCCGAACGAGCCTTTTTTCGATTTCGTCAAACTTTGAACGACCATAACTTTGTGCTCCACAATCCGAAAATCATGATTTTTTTTTATTTCGCATAACTTCGTCGACAGCGGTGATGCAATCACTGTCTTCGTCGACAACAGTGATGCAATCACTGTCTTCGTCGATAGCGGTGATGACCCAAACTAACGTAGATTGGGAATTATTTTCATAACTTGTGTATTTTGAGAATTTTTTTTAAAACCATGTGTAACTTGGGATTTTTTCCCCTAGTAGCTCCTTCTCCACCGCATGGACCCACAACTCTAGCATTTTTCTTATGCTCCTCCTCTCTCTTCCTCCGCCTTCGTCCCGGCATTTACTCCCTCTTCTGCTGCCCCACCCAGGATTGGGGATTTATGAAAGCCCCTACAATTCCTCCTTTCACCCGAACATTAGAACCGCCCCTGATCTCACTGCCCTTTGCCCTTTTGTATTTACCAAACTTGAATTGGTTTTTACCAAATCTAATGATTATGAATGGATTTAAATATTTCGATTGATCAAACATGAATGTTTTTCGTAATCTTGGTGACCAATCATGCAATTAACCCATATAAAAACTTCCCTCCCAACATCACTAACACTCACGGCTGCCCCCCACTTTCCCCCCTCTCTCCTCTTTGTACACAAACCGTCATTGCATACAGTGGGGCGATGGACAACATACCGTTGAGGCAACTAAAGCGTCATGCGATGAAGGCAAGCAGCGACGGAGATACCGAGAGGTGGTAGGCGACGACGATGGCGATGGAGGAGGCAAGTGGCGACTACAGAAGAAGGGGTGTCGATGGTGCATCGTCGCTGCCGTCTCTTTCTCCATGTATGCGTCGTCGTCCAAAGATAAAAGGCCCATTCCGTATATGGCTTCTCTCTTCACTCATCGACGTCCCGGTACAATGGATCTGGAGTCACGGTCGAACGAATCTGAAGGCCGATGACAACTAAGGTGTTTTTCAGCGGCGGACGACGAGATGGTTGGGGTGGGTCGGTTGGATTTTACGTTTTAATAGGATATAGTTATATATTGATAATCATTTGAATGTAGTAGTTATTAATTAGTAGTGATTCTGACTATAATGTGCAGTGATTTTTATCAACTATTGGTAGTGGTTATCATAGTTATAATAGCATTTTTTTGTTCATAGTGTTTATTTTTTTAATATTTTGTTGTAGTGATTCTTCTTAACAATTGACAATCGCTACAAATTAAAAATTGTTAAAACACTACTAGTTGTATGAAAATCACTATCGACCCTCCAAAAAACACTACTATCAGCCTCCAAAATCATTCATCGCCATTGATTAAAAATCCTAAAATCACTACTATCACCCAAAATAACTACTTAAATCTATCAGCCAAAATGATTGCTAATTTAAGTAGTAACGAATTTATTAGTACTTTTCCACTTTCCAGTAGAAAATGACTAATAAATATAGGAGAGAGAAATTAGATTTTCAATTTCAATTTATATATTAATATTAAGGGTTTAATAGCAGTTTATACCCCTCTACTATTACAAATTAACAAATACACCCCTCTATTAAAATTTTGCACAAACATACCCTCCTAATATCAAAACGTAACAAGTATACCCTTCCCTTTAATTATCTGTTAATTGACAGTTAAATTGGCTTGAAAATTACCCAAATACCCTCATTTTGTGTTAATTTCGGTTATCATTTGTTTTACCCCAATTCACAATCCAATTAAAAATTAAAACGTAACCTAAATCCAATCGATATTCTCGTCAAGAGAAAAAAAAACTTTTCGTTTTCCTCAATCACCAGCCATCGAAGACTCCCCCACCAATAGATTCCGACTCACCCTACTTAATTGTCCTCGGCAGCGGCTGCACCTGGCTTTTCCTCGCCGGCAACTGGATCAGATAGCAGCGGGTGAGACGGCAAGCGACAGGAACGGATAGAGAGCACCCAGCTTTCTGCCGGCGAAGGGCGGCCTTTCGCAACTTCTTCTCCCTCCGTCGAAAAAGCACACAACATCAATTGACTTGAGCCAATTGTTTCCTGGCCCTTTGGCGGCTTCACACTATCTTTTTGAATAATTGTGGAGCCAACTTCTTCTCATCTTCCGAAGCTTCTTCTCACAAGGAAAATATCACCCTTGCAAACAGAGCGATAAGCCTCTAATAGGTGAGGAGAGGCGTAGCCAAATTTTCTGGTGTCGGATTCGTCGCATCTCATCCTCGGCGGGTATTCATCGTCTCGCCCTGTTGTTCGCCACGTCTCACCAACGGGTACACATTGTCTCGCCCGCTGAAGCCTGCTCAAGCCGCCATCGAGGACAAGCTGGGAGCAGCCGAAGTTTATGAGCGCCGGAGTCTCTACGGCGGCGGGTAATTGAGGAAGACGGAAAGGTTCCTCTTTTATGGGAGAATTTAATTTTTAATTGGGTTGTAACTTGTTATAAAAAATAATAAAAACAAAATTAAGTCTAAATGAGGGTATTTGTGTAATTTTCGGATTATTTAACGGCTAATTAACAGATAATTACAAGGAGGGGTATACTTGTTACGTTTTGTCATGAGAAGGGTATATTTGTGCAAAAATTTAATAGAAGAGTATGTTTGTTAATTTGTAATAATAAAGGGGTACAAAATGCTATTAACCCTAATATTAATTGTGTTAAATAGCAAACAAGCCCATCATTATCAACTATCATCAGATTCAATTTTAAAAATAGATGGTGATTAAATTTGTTAGTACGATGCTAAATCCTATGAAGTTAACACTGTAACTTCTGCCCTAAATATGATTTTTGGATTACGTTTCACTTGCAGAAACTTTGCTAGAATTTTTCATTATGGATTGGATTGTGTTTAAGGGCTTTTTATTTTGTTTTTTTGTCACTATGTTTAAGGGCTTGTTCATGGATTACGTTACAGTAGCAGGCCCAGCCCACACCAAAAGGAGCACAACGGAAATTCATAAGCCCACCTAGTCATAGTATCGTCCATCCAATCCTAACCCAGCCCAAGCGCCGATTAAGTCCTATCAACTCCCGTCCACCCCCCCACTAGACGACAACTGATCCCCCAATAATTCACCTTCCTTCTCCTTCCTTTCTATCTATCGCTTTCCTCTCGCACAAGCAGAGCAAGTCACCAACAATGGCGACATCCAATCCGAAATGTTCATCCTACACCAAATACGAGACCCGAACACGAAACCCAGACCCGAATACCTCCATCCTCCTAGTAATCGACGCCCAGAACCACTTCTCCTCAATGATCGACCCAATTCTCCCGAACCTCCTCTCCACAATCCAACTCTGCCGCCGCGCCTCGGTCCCCGTCCTCTTCACCCGCCACAACCACAAATCCCCCGAAGACTACGGCATGCTTGCGGAGTGGTGGGACGGGGATCTGATCATCGACGGCACGCCGGAATCCGAGCTAATTCCCCCAATTGCGGAGCTGGCAGCAGAGGAAGGCGGCGGCGAGGTCATCATCGAGAAGAGCACCTACAGCGCCTTCGCGCAAACTGGGCTTCAGGAGAAATTGGAAGAGATGGGCGTCAAAGAAGTGATTGTGACGGGAGTTATGACGAATCTCTGCTGCGAAACCACTGCCAGGGAGGCTTTCGTGAGAGGGTTTCGAGTTTTCTTCTCCGCCGACGCCACCGCCACCTCGGCTATGGATTTGCACGACGCCACAATCAAGAATTTGGCTTATGGGTTTGCTTACTTGGTGGATTGTGACCGACTTCAAGTTGCATTCTCCCTAAAGTAGGAATTTTCTTTGAATTACTCTAAATAGAAATATAGAATAAGTTGGACTCGGTTACTCTGTTTCTGCAACATGGTAAACAGGGGATGGTGGATTCAGTTCGAAATGATTCCGTTTGTAGTCTCATTCGGTGTACCATCAATATGAACTTGCATCCTCTCCATGAATTTGTTGACAAGAGGGAAGAAGCAATTTGGTCTGACAACAGAATATGGAATATCAGGGGAGGGAAGGGTATATGTACGATGGAATTACTCTGACCAAAATGTTTGATCAGCTTGGTCAAGATTTCATTTTTTACCCCTCGAGTAAAGTCCATCCAACTAATCTTCACACTACCTCTGTATCCAACTGATGCTCGAATTTTTTGTTTAGTCTCTATAATCAAGACGTTCGAATGGCATTTCTCGTCTTTTAGACAAAACATTTGTTCAACATAAACTGATGTGGCAAAATTCTGTATATTTTGAAAAGCAAGTATGTGTGGTTCTAGACTGAAAGCTCATTCTATTGATTCCCGAGACTTGAATGTCAGAGGAGTCTAAGCGATTTGCATGACCATAGAACCATCTCAAAGCACCTACTCTGTTCATTTATTCGATTAAAACGTGTGTTCTCCTAGTCGTTAGATCACAAATTATTTAGGCAACACAAATTCTAAAGTTTGCGAGTCCTTAAAGGTGATGTAGATAAGATGTTCCATTAGCTAACAACACCACCTGCCCCTTGCACAAGTGCCACTTGGTAGTTGACCAATTACAGGCTCAAAGCTTCAAATGCAAGCCTGAAGTTCCCATCCAGAGTTGCAGAGTTATGGGAAAAGGAATAGAATCAACCCAATGCATCTAATGGTATGGTCAACTGTGGGAATTTGTTCTTGAGAGGAATGGACAAGCCAATCCATTCCATATGGAGAAAAGAAAGGAAAGTCTTCCATTGGAATTTGACAGCCTCAAACGCAAGTGCATGTATGCATCCTCTGAACATCTATAAATAGGCAAAGGTTGCAGCATACACACACAACCATCAATATCCATCCATTCTAGAGATATTACACATGAGTAGCCAGCCAAGAAGAGTGGCATAACATGAGGAGAAAGAGTCACTTGTTTGGTAGCCAAGAATGACTTGCCTGCAAACATGACGTGCAGGGGTATCTAGCACCTCTATCTTGTCTTTTTGTCAGGCAGTCATTCTGGCTATGCTGACTGACTCTTCTCATTCATGTTAGGCTTCCTTTTCTCGTGAGTCTGGCATTTTGAAGAGCTGTTTGTGGTGTTAAGAGGATTGAGAGTATATATGGAGGAGGGTCTTACATGAAGAGAAGTGCTTTGTTTGCTAGCCAAGGATGACTTGCCTGCTATACCATTATGGTTTTTATGATCATAAAGCTCGAAACCTTTTTGGATACACACCAGGCAGTCTCCTTTGGCTACTCTGACAAACACTTCTCATTCATGCTAGACCTTATCCTTTCCAGAATGATTGATGTTGTATGAAAGTTTGATTCAACATTTCTGTGGTTTTTCGGTATCCAATGGAAACTTCTTTATCATTGATACCCTTCATATGCATGATACATTGGTTGGCTCCATGTGTTTGATTTGCTCCTCAGAGCAAATTGCATATGTGCAAATGACCCTTCTCTTCTCAATCACATGTGCAAACCAAGAGAGAATTGTCTGAAAGCGTTTGGTGGGTTTCATTTATGTAATGTCGCTTTTGTTATAAGGATATGCTTAAAGAGCAACGAAAAGAAAAAGTCGGTAAAATGTTTAAAGTGATTTTCAAATGTCACATTTGAATGAGAAAATGGTCTGGTTTTCAACTTGAACCAGCAGACTATGAACTAAACACTACATATCTCAGTTGTGCTTCAAATTTATAATCTTAATAAAGGGACAACGAAAACCCTGTCATATTACTGTCTCTACCCCATCCATCTATATAATTAGATGGGTGAATAAAATCTTGTTAAATGAGTATGATGGGAAACCCATAAAGACCAATATAATTTTGTTCGATAAATTCTTTTTCTGTCTCAACCCTTAGGTACCACATTGTTGGAAGAGGTGCAAAGACAATCAAGATAAGGTCTGGAGATGGATAGTCCGCGATGCCTTGGTGAGACCACACTATAAGAGGAGATTCAATAGTGGAGATCGTTGTGTCCGTCGTTTGTTGTTCACTTTGTCGGTGTAGGGATTAATATGATACTTCATTATGTGTACATAAAAGTCCTCTCTTTATACTCTACTCACATATGATAGGTTATGATTTTCCATTATGGTTTGCTCAACCTGATCTATTGTATTTGGATGTTGTATCTATATTTTGATTGCTAATTCAAGTGATCTATAATACAAATGTTATATTTATCGTTACTAGATGAAAATAAAAGTGACCACTACCACCATTTCCAAAGAAACCTTTTTATATAAGAAAAGAAACCATTGCCACAGATCTTTGCTGTTTTGGGGAGGAGAAGTTACATCTAATTTTGGAGCATGCAAACATAATCTGAAAAGGAAGATCAATAAAGAGGATGCCAGTAGGCAGTAGGATGTGTATTTCTTCTTAAATAGGAAGGAGAATATTGATAATAAAACAACTGTATGTGGTTACCACCACTTTATTTATAAGAATATTTCAGATGCCTTGCAGCTAAGCTTTTTCATCTCTCCGAATATCCTTTTTCATGAGAAAATTGATTTTTATTATTGAACATCACTCGCATTAACAAGACTAAAAGTTTTCATAAAAAACAAGACTAAAGTTATACAAATGAAAATTTTAAAAGAAGCCAAGCAATAAAATTAAAACCACAACAACTCGTTAACTTAAACAAATAAATAAATTCTTAATCTTCCATGAGCTACTTTACCTACTTTACCTGTCAATAAATCAAACTCAAAAAATAGGAACAATGCGAATATTTGGCAAAGCTTTACATAGATAGCACCTCCTCTTCAACTTGAACCAACTCAAATATAAGATATTTGAAATACATGAATTCAAATTCGTTGTTTGGATACTTATTTATAATTTATTGATACTTCAGATTTTATGACTTTTTATTATAATTTTGATTTTTTTGACCACTTACTATAAATTTTGGTATATTATATTTTGGTACCCAAATATATTTTTTAATTAAAATTTACGTTTTGATACATATGTTTTCCCTCATTGTAATACCTAAACTTTTAAATTTTTACAAACATGTCCAATCTATTCTAAGGAGGAATTTCAAATCATTAGCTGTTGATATGTATTTGAATTTGACAAGTAATACAGTAGACATTAATTTGGAAATCACCCCATGAATTTGACACAAATCCAAATACAAATTGTAATTAATATCCAAACAATTGATTTGACATTTGAAAATCCAAATCCAAATTCTTTTATCCAAACACACTACTAATTTAAAAGTGAGCCTTTTGTGTGAAATTCGATGTCATGCTTTTCATACTAATAACTCGAACAGTTTACAGAATCAAATATATATTTCGTACCAAATCTGAACGTTAGGGAGGAGAGAAAAACTCAGTTTTCGTGAAGCTGCCAAATCTGTGAAAAAGACGTGATATACAACACCATGCATATGTAGAGAAACTTTCGGTTAGGGAGACTTTTTCCCATTTTGTTCTGCCAGGGACCAGCTCTGTTCGTACCGGATAAGGGCAAAATTATATTGCAGAGAAACGACGACTCTACCGTTTGTGAGGGGACGACACCTCAAACCGATAGAGAGGCCCATGCCATGTTGTGTGTGACTTTAAATATGCTTCACTACTTTTGATCTTTGGACTTATAAAGGTCAACCGTTATGGCACGAAATCTCAACAGATATGGAGAGGAGGGAATATATTCCATTCCATTTCATGCATATGGAGAATGGAGGAAAAGAAAAGAGATGGACACGAATGAAAGTTTTTGGATTGTGCAAAACCGAAACAGTGCAGGAATCGGTATTATTTATCTTTGTTCCCCACCATGCGTAGCTATAAATAGAGGGGCTCCTTGGAGCCAAACATAGGAACATTGCAGCTAGCAGAAACATGCATGAGAAAAGAGGTCTAACAAGAAGAGAGGAGCTTCTTCGTTTGGTAGCCAAGGATGACTTGCCTGCTCCTGAACACATGCATGGATTTCGACTTCCATAGTTGTGGTTGAAATCTCTTGTTATAGGTTTCAGGCAGTCTCCTTGGCTAACCTGGCAAGCTCCTCTCCTTCGTGCTAGACCCTCTCCTTCTCTTCTTAACCCTTGGCACAACATTGGCCGTAGTTATTCCTCCCAGAGGTTGTTTTCCTTTTCTTGGTACGTTAAAGACCCTGCTAGCTGAAGGTTCTTTCTATATAATTTACTGTTTCATATCCAACAATTCTTGCTTCTCATCTTCTGTACTGCTGGTCATGGAAATGATGAAGAGGCCTGGGAATTCTTCGAAGAGGGAAGTGGCAGACAAGTAGATGTAGTGCATTTTCCATGCAAATGAGATATATAGGATGTGAAAATGGTTTTGGAGACGACCAAATCAAGTGTTGTTTTGCTGCTTCACATCTTCATTGTATGATGTTGGAGCTGTCCGAGACGTACGTTTTATGAACCAACCAATGAGTACAGTGTTCTCATGATGATCATTCCCTAAGAAATATTAATGGATTGAGAATTTTGGCGTGATTGGTAGTTGCAAAGGTTAAAATTTGATATATTTAAAAAAAAATTATGAAGCAAGGACTTGATCTATTGGTTCGGGTCTTCAATATAGAGGTCTCATTTTTTTTTTTGATGGAAACCTGCTTATAGAGGTCTCATTTTCAAAATTTTAATTATGATAGATCTAATAATAAAAACAAACATGTGTCATCCTTATAAAAAAAAAAAAAACAAATACAAAGCATGAACTAATAATATTAAAATGAGTGCATAGTAAAATAAAATGTTTATTATTGCAATAATATTTTATCACCAGTGTTCCATACAAAAAAACAAGCAA